TCAGATCCCAATCATTTAATACTTTATATCTGTGATCTGAGCCGCTTAGAAGGCTTTTTTTTTATACATCCAAAAAATTTGTCTCTAATGGAGACCCGCCTTTATCTGTAAAGGTCTATCTAGTAAAGGAGACCTGCTTCTATTTGGGACCCTGCTTTTAATTTGAAGTTTTACAGTATAGTTTACATTGAACCAGAACTGAGGAGTAGTTAATGTTTACTCTGCTACATTATGTTCTGTCGTCTCTCGGTTAAATTAATTTCATTATTTGACAGAAGGCAGTTAATGATTCATGTCCTCTGATATTTACTGTGTGTGTGTGTGTGTGTGTGTGTGTGTGTGTTGGACGCTCCTCCTCATTCACCAGGTGTTGTGGCTGCCGTCAGACCTGCGGGCTCTGGTCCAGGAGCTCGATCCTGAGCTCCAGCAGACATCAGGCAGTCGGCTCCCTCTAGAGGAGCTCCAGAGGAACCACATCGTCAAACTCAACCTGCACTACAGCTCCATGTCCACCGAGCTCACTAGGTTATTGTGTGTGTGTGTGTGTGTGTTGTTTTCAATTTTAGAAGTTCCTACTTTTCTAGACTCAAATTTCCAGACTTCTCAGTACATTTTTTTAGACCATATTTGACACCTGAGTGCAAATAGTTAGATGTTTTTAATATGATGATTGTACAATATGTATTCTGTTATATAGTTGGCAGAAGTAGCTTGGTACTGTGTGTCTGTGCAGCCTTGTTTATTCCCCGGAAACGACGATAAACACAGCCATAAAGGTTTCCTCACACAGAAGAGTCAACAAAATCACTACATAACAACATGAAAAACACTTAAACACAACAGCCTAGAAATTCAGAATGTTATATTTAAGAAAACAGAGCAGGGACAATAGGCCATAACTTATTTTGACCTGGAAATGACCAAAATCTACTTCCATACTTTCCCAGACTGCGCAGGGACCCTGTGTGTCTCAGAGATGGTGTTTAGCAGCACGTCATCGTAACATTTCTCCTCTCTCGTGTGCAGTGAGTACGCTGCAGTGAACATCACCACCAACCTGTATGTGATCAGCCAGCCGTGGCTCTACTCTCTGGCCTGGTGTAGTGGAGTCCACTCGGTCACCACCAACGCTCCCCAGCTCCTCAGCACCATGAGCTCCCCTCTCTTCCTCATGGTAACACTTTCACTACTTTACTGAAGTATTTCCATTATAAGCAACCAGATGTGATAGTAAAACGCTGACAGGGAACATTTTACTGTGTTCTGTAAATGTTACTGATAATACTTACGTACTTTTTACTTAAATAAGGTAAGTTTTATCTGTCGTATCAGGAGTTTTCTGTGTGTGTTCCTATCACTGGTTTAAAGTGAGCAAGGCTCAGCTCGGAAATGGTGACATATTTCCACTCATCAATCAGGATTTAGCAATATTTTAATCAAAATCTAACAGTTGGTTGGTTGTTTTGTCAATCATTCACTGTCCTCCTTCAATACCCAGACAATGGATTAATGAAAGAAACACTCAGTAAACATGTTAACACTGTGTCTTAAACTTTAAAGTGAAAACAGTTATGTGATGTATTCACCTGTGCTAAATTGTGTTTAAACAGTGTAGAACAGAAAAAGCATCGTCTCATTTAACATCAGACATGTTCAGAAGGCCCTGATTAAACTTTATTACTGAATCCAGATAAGATTAAATACACACGCTTCACTAGAGCCCAAATAAAAATCTTAGTCTTAATATTGGTACTTGTGTATCTGGTTAGATGAAAACTTGTCATTCAAAACTAAAGAACTTACTAAGAACACAACAATACGTTTCATAAGATGTAGAAATATGGAATACCGCACTCATTAACAGGAGTAAAACCTTCCCATTCATACACACAGAATTAGGAAAAAGACAACATTTTAAGCTCTTTCTGAACATTTTATATAAAGACTGCACCTGTTTTTTTAACGTCTGCTTTGTCCCTGTGTAATGTATAACTGTGTGTTTGTGTTGTATTTATGTTCTGTACAAAAATGTTTTAAATATTGAACATTTTTATTTTATAACTAACTTATAAATCTGTGTGTGTCTCTCCAGAGTCCAGATGAGTATAATCTGATGTGGATTCTAACTGATCTGGCGTCCCTCCTGCTGATCCTCCTCATCTTCATCTTTCACTGGTGAATCACACACGCAGTGAAAAACAAAGCTGTTAGCGGGACGATGTTATCTGTTGTTATCTGTCTTGCCTTTTCACCCGGGCAGGACTTCAGGGAGGGAGTCAGATCTGAATACGATGAGATAAAACAGGGTTCACATGTTGTGTGTTTGTCCGGCAGGTGGCGAGAGCGAGGACTGACTTTCTCCTCAGGAAGCAAAATCATGCTGGACAACGGCACTTATAGCAAGTTTAAGACAGGTAACCTCTAAAGATATCTGCTTTATTTTTTATTTTTTTCACTTTATTATGAGTCAGTAATGTCTGGTTAATGCAAACAGCGGTCAGCACTGCAGTGTTCATACCTACACACCAGGTTTCCTGTTAAGTTCATGCAAGTTAATGCATGAATAAAACCTCTAACTTGTATTTGAGCATACACAGATCAGCTTCATGAGCACTGATAACACTGATTATCTGATTATCATGGCTCCTGTCAGTTGTTAGAAGCAGGAAAAATGGGCAAGTGTATTTTGATAAGAGCCAAAGAGTTGATTAACCGATTAGTCAACAAACAGGAAATGATTGTGCAGCTATTTTTATAACACTAAAACATTCGCTGGTTCCAGCTTCTCAGATCTGAGGATTTACTGCCTTTATTCGTCATTTTATGATCGCATGTTGAATATCTTCAGGTTTGATTTCACAGTGGGCTCTGAGACAGTGATTATTCCTCTATTCTGACATTTTATTGATGAGCCAATTAATCCACTAATCAAGACAATAACCATCAATATTGTGCTTGATTATGTAAAAGAGTGTCTGCTTACAGCTATTCTTTTACACCACTGTATATTTATTCTCCACCACTGGACTTCCTCAGTGCTGTTAACATCAGACTGGTGTTCAGTGACGTCCATTACTGTCATTATGTGACTGAAATCAAACACATTTTTGTTGCAGAGCTGAGTGATATATGGTCGGTCTCCAGTGCGAACTCCCAGGCAGAGAAGACGATCAACCTGGCGACTGTGACCGAGCACTGATCATCTGCCTCTGAGAGGAGCCTCATACTGCCAACCTGTAATGTCTCAGAACAACATTTTATCAAGTGCACTTTGTTTCAGTGAAATAAAGTGATGCAAACATTTCTCACTTTGTCAGCAGCTGTTTTTATCGCACACATATAACTTATTTTTACCTCCAAAATGGAAACATTTAGAAATACTCTTATTTGCTTTCTTCTTTTCCTGGTCTGACGAGTCAAAGTGCTGTGAAAACGCTCTATAGCCCTCATATAGCTGCCCTTCTAATTTACTTAGCTTAGCACAAAGACTTGAAACAGGGGGAAACAGCTAGCCTGGCTCTGTCCAAAGGTAACAAAATCTGCCAACCAGCACCTCTAAAGCTCATTAATAAAACACCTGCTGCTTCAGCCTGACAACATTTGTTAGTTTACGAGCAACAAACACTTTGTGGTCAAAGCTTTGAGCAGCTGTAAATATAAAATTGCATGTATAGGCATTAGTCCAACGCTTCACCTAATGATAATTTTCATTAATGAATAATTCATTGATTATTTTACATTAATCGACATATCTTGGGTCCACCCAACCCCACACTAGTAGTGTTCCTTACAGCTAGTACAGTTAGCATATGCAGCAGTGCACCAGTAGGAGAAAAAATACTTTCATCTTGGTGACAAGGCGCAGCTCCTGATCGCAGTTTAACGTTGTTTTTGTTTTTCTGCGTCTATCCTTCTAATGAAAAATGTGTCGACTAAGACTCTTCTCAGAAACCCTCGTAAATATTGGACTTGCATTCACCAGGTGGACTAATGTTCAGCTTTTAATTAAACTACGCTCAATCATATCAATATAAAATTTTTGTATAGTAAACTGTATTTGTATTGATTTAATTGTAATTTTTATTATTGTGTTCTATTTTTAATTATCTGATTTATTTTTACTCCATTCTTTCTTTTTGTGAAGCTTTTCAGCCCCTAAAATGGGTTTGCAGTGCTGGATCCCACTGGTGGGTTGTGGTACTGGGTGAAATGTTTCAGAAGCAGCAGCATTAAAGACAAGTGCAGTGAATCAAACTGTGAGTTTAAATCTGAGTTTGATTGTATCTAAGCTGCTTCCAGGCCTGTCCCACCAACCACCAGTGGTGCATTCATCATTAATATCCCCCGAATTAAAATGTGTTGATCCGCTACAGCATGAGTCGTTTGTAGCCTTGCTAGTCTGAATTAAAAGGATGTTACACAGGGAAAATAAACCTCAAGTGAGCCAGTGACAAATGAAGGATAGTGCCGAGTGCTGATCACATCCGATCCATGATACATGAATTAATTTATTGATACACTCCTTGTTTAAATCAAAACACCAGTTTAATAGCTGAACACGAATAACTGATTGAGTCAGAAGTGTTTCCGTCTTCAAATGGACTTCCTGGTTTGGCTGACGTGGGCAGCCATGGATTGGGTCTTTAAGGGCAGTGGCGGCACCCAGCCAGTTTGCCATGGAGACCCTGGCGCGTGGCTAAGGAGTGTTTTTATGACCCCATGTGAAGCAGTGAGGCCACCAGTTGTCGCTTTGACACCGTCGAAACAGCATGCACCGAAGAAGAAGAGGAAGGCTGGGAGGAGATTAATGACATATTGGCTCCTGTGGCTTTGGGCCTTGGCTACCTTCAGGAGAACAAAGAAGACTGTAGTGTGTGTTAGTGTGTGTGTTTAGTGTGTGTGTGTGTGTGTGGTGTGTTGTTATTTAAACCAAGTTTTGGGCTCTGTCTCCACCTGTCATTGAAGTTATTTTTAACCCCGAGAAGTTTTTGTTTGGGCTCTGAGTGAATTCAGACCTCTGACCTACAATGTGAGCCTACTTACTGCCCGGGGGCAAAGCTCGCACAAAAAGAAGATACAATGCTCTCATGTCCAATGTTTTTCAGTCATTTATTTTATTTTCAATCCCACTAAGGACAATCTGAAAATGACGAGGGAAAAATGCAGTTCCTATATATTGCAGTATTTACTCCAGGTTTTAGTGGTTTTTTTTATGAACAACTCATAGTGGTCAAGCAAAAAAAACTGCTAAATCACACGTTTTATATTGCCTCCAAACTCATTTTGTGGCCACTCTGGGGGCCCTGGAAACAAGTCCTGTGAACACCTGATGTACAGCTGTTATCACCAGACTAAGGGCTAATCTGTTAGCAAACCCCCTGCTTCTTTACACAGCCAGCATAGTCAGAGCTAACCATTTATCATTCAAGTCCCGTTTTCCCTGGTGAATGCAAGTCCCAATATTTACGAGGGTTTCTGAGAAGAAGTCTTTAAAGTCGACACCATTTTTTCATTAGAAGGATAGACGCAGAAAAACAAAAACAACGTTTAAACTGCGATCAGCGAGCTGCGCCTTGTCAGCCAAAGATTAGAACAGTATTTTTTTCTCCTACTGGTGCCTGCTGCATATGCTAACTGTACTAAGCTGTAGGAATCACTACTAGTGTAGGTTGGTGGACCCCAAGATAATGTCGATTAATGGTAAATAATCAATGAATTATTCATTAATGAAAATTATGCACTACCTAAGGTGAGCGTTGGACCTAATGCCTATACATGCAATTTTATATTTACCAGCTGCTCAAAGCTTTGACCACAAAGTGTTTTGTTGCTCGTAAACTAACGAATGTTGTCAGGCTGAAGCAGCAGGTGTTTTATTAATGAGCTTTAGAGGTGGCTGGTTGGGCAGATTTTGTTCCCCTTTGGAAGAGCCAGGCTAGGCTGTTTCCCCTGTTTCAAGTCTTTGTGATAAGCCCAAGCTTAGCTGGTTGCGGTAGCTTTCTATTCATACCATAAGAATCAGTCTTTTTTATTTAACACTCTGCCACAAAGAGCATTTCTACAAACCTATTCCTTTAACTGGCGGATTGGTGGACGTCAGCAATGTTGGTTGCTGGTTTACGTCTGTTTGTGGCTAAGAGGAGCGAGTGGAAGCACTTCCAGGAAACCCCAGGAGATGGACGAATGAAGACTTCACTAGAACATCTTAATTTCAAATTTTAAAAGATTTATGGAACATAATTAGCAGCAGTCTACGAGGGCAAATCTATTCACTTTCCGCAATCAATAAGGACACTACAGTTTCTCATTAAGATGGATATCTTTTCTTTATGCAGTGTTGAGCACTCACACACAATACCAACAGAAATAATATCGGCTGTTGCAGGC